AATACATATTTTTGTACAAATAATGAGGTTTTTTTTAGTTCTTAGTTCAAAGACAGGTACAATTATATTTTCTACTTTATCTTATAATAAACTTAAAGCTATAGATAGGTCTGTAAGTAACAGCTATTCTTAATATTTCATTACTACAAGTAAAATCAGCTCTGGTAACTCTACTGCAAATTACATATCACCATTTAGAACAACTACAAAATTTTTCTCAGAATAATTATCATAGTAGAAAAAAATCTTTAAAGTTAATCTTCAGTGTTACAGAAACAATTCATTTGTGGAAAAAGCAGTAGAATAAGGTCAGAAGAATTAAATTCTAAGTTGGCTTTTCTTGCTATATGTCTGTAGGGATGTTATGTAAGACTCAATTATACCATCTGTAAAATGGGGCTAATAATTGATGTCCTCTTTACTTCACAAGGTTCTTGTAAGGAAAATATAGAAAAAGGTGGGAACTACTTTGAACTTTTATGAAGAAAAACTCTATACTATTAAATTTTTGCAATGTCATGTTATAATATTACTGTTTATAATTTTTGGCTTATCAATTGATATGTCTCATTTAATATTTGTAGTTTTATTTTGAGGAAACCACCACAAAAAGTTAACGTTTATGTGATAAAATCACGTTTTAAAAGTGGGCCCATTTTAATGTTGTAGGAAGTTGACTTTAGAATTATAATCGCAGGTCATGTCCTTCTTATGTACAGTGAAAAGCAGACTACAGATTTTTTGGATCAATGATTCAGACTCTGTCATGGAATTTGTGCAATTTGAAGTCTACTACTGGCTAAAAGAATTTGTCAGAGGCTTAGTGACAGAATGACCTTCCCTTCAGAAAAGACTAAGTGAGGAAAATAAGAGAGACATTTTATCAGTATCTGCAATTTTATAGTCCCTCTCTTCCAAAGGCAGAGGTGCACAGGGTGGAGGGTAAGTTCAGGACACCTGTTCCCACATGCAGTCTTTTTACTAACTCACAGCAATCACTGAATCTACCTGACATCGGTTTCTACATTTGGTCCATTCTCTTCAAATGCATTCTCTGGAACCAGGACAGAGATCATGAATTCTGTGGGTGCCATGGCATACTGAAATGTGTTCAGTACTGAAAAGGCTGGTGACAATATTCTGTACAGTGTGTACTTTGAGAGGGCAGCTAAACAAAATCCACAGCCATTAGGTCCTATTCCTGACTCTGCTATGCTCTGGGGGCAGCCTGTGACTATAGTAAACTTCCTCTGACCTTGCCATAGTTCTCCATAAAACTGACTCTGTAACACTTGACATCTGCCTCCTCTGAGCAGAGTTTACAAGGACTAATGAGACCATGCTGTCAAAGGCCAGACCTTTTAATAAAACCTGCTTATAAGCAAAGCATCAGTGGGTAGGTCCATAATTAAAGTCTGACCCTTCAGCTGTGTCAAATGCTCCTGAAATGGGTGACATCATTGCCACATGTAAAAGAATATTTTGCTGGAAAACTGAAAATTATTAAGAAGGAGGAAATGAGGCCTTTGAAGAAAGAGACAAGGAGACAACAGCTCTACAAGGAGAAAGCAGAGCTCTCTCTATTGACAAGAAAGAATCTTGCTTGGAAGTGGAAGTGAACATGCGTCCACTCCACTGGGGACAGAGATGCAGGTAAGAATCCATCAGCATGGCCGACACGACATGAAAGTTTAGAGAAGGGATACTGGGAAAACAGGCACTGTGCATCTTTTTAGGTTTATAAAACAGACTTATTTCTAACTTGGTGACCATTGTACAGTCAGGCAGCTATTGTCTTTAGAAGCTGCTTTAACTTTTTTAAAGGTAAAATATCCTTCACTTTCTGAAGTGAAGGATATTCAGAGAGGATTTTTTGGGGGGGCCTCTTTCTGCTGAGATGAATCCTATTTCCTTTCTTACTTATACTCTCCATATAACCTTTCTCACTAGATTCCTCTACTGCCTTCTAAAAAAAAATCTGGTTCATAGAAAGAACTCTTGCTCTATTCCCACACACTGACAATTTCACTGTCAGGTAAAATGCATAGTTCCTCATAGAAAGGACTCTGTGTGCCCTTAATCGTACTGGGCAGAATGAGGAACATTCCCAGTCCGCCTCCGGCAGAAGGAAATCTCTTTTTCCAAGGGGCCTGAATAGAAGACAGCTTTCATTCCTCCTCCTTCTCTAACTTTTCATCTCTTTCCCTTCCTCCTTTTTTTTCTTTCAACTAATTTTTATTGAGTGTCTACCAAGTACTAACTTCAGTGCTCGGCCCACGGAAACATCTGCTTCATGGAGGCATATTTAATGGGGCTTTTAGTTTTGTATTTTTCTGGTGGGTCATAGAAACTGATAATATCCCAGGTAAGGGCACAAGTAATAGGAATGTTTTATGTGAGATTTCCAATAATTTTAGCCACCTCTGGGAAGCATTTTTCTGTGGTATTTGTTAGCAGTTAATTTGAGATTAATGATACTGGTAAAAAAAAAAAAAAAAAGAAAGAAAGAAAAGTTACTGCTTTTATTTTCTACTAGAAAAGGCTTGTTCCTTTATGTCTCTCTGATTAAAATGAATACATGGAATCATCCATTCTGGGTTCCTTCTGAAGATTTTTAGGGAGTTGGACTCTGCCTTCAGAGCCAAGAACAAACCACGAGAAAGAACCGGAGAGTGTGTCCATGTCACTGCACCACTCTGCGGGAACCACAGTCTGACACCCAGCGGGTGCTCTCCAAGCCAAGAGCATTGAAAGCATTGAGCACATTTCAGGTAAGCTCTGATCTTCCAATGTGTAGTGACAATCATTCCAGGTTTCTAGCACTGAGGTCATACAGGCCTCCACTTCCTGATGTTCACTGACCTTTTGTTCACAGATTTGTTTTTTGTTCTGTTAATCATCTCTTTTAAAACAAGTGAATGTATTATCAGATGAAAAATATGTGTTCCATACATATACAAACAGATCTAGTGGAATAAATCAAAACTTCCTTCCTTTCTTTTTTTTCTCCCCTCCATCAGGCTCAGGCAAGATTTGAACTTCCCACTGCAGGTTCACCGTGCCAGCACTCTCACTGCTGAGCTGTAGCATTCTAACTACTGAGCAAAGAATTGAAACTTTGATGATTGTGCTGACATGTCTTTAGAATGGAGTCTCTGACCAGCCCTTAAATTATTTTCTTCTTCAGATGTCCGAAGACTAACAAGCAACCTTAAGTCCATGAGTCAGGTTTTATTTTCCACATTATGTTATTTTGCAAATTATCTGTCTGATGTTCTACTGCCTCGAGAACTTTTAAGCCTAGCTTTCATATTATGTGTCTATACTAAGACAATTAGATGGATTTGAGCAAAAATAAAGAGGGAGTCAATCTCAAACCACTCCCTCTTACAGGGAGACAGGGCTTTACACATCAGAAGGCCTAAGAGGGCTACCGACTAGAAATGTAATAAAACACAACCATCTACATTTGTATTTCAACAATAATATTTAATTTCTATTAAAACAGCTAGTGTTTTTTGGAGTATGGCCTATTGAATCAGTCTAGTGAAAAAATATTTATTTTTCAACAGATTATTTCAGGATCTTACCTATGTTCTGCCAATATAGAAAGGGACTTTAAAAAAAAAAAAACCTGTTTGGGCTCGGCACCTATAGCTCAGTGGCTAGGGCGGTGGCCACATACACTGATGCTGGTGGGTTCAAACCCGGCCTGGGCCTGCCAAACAACAATAACAACTACAACGAAATAATAGCCAGGTGTTGTGTTGGGCACCTGTAGTCCCAGCTACGTGGGAGGCTGAGGCAAGAGAATTGCTTAAGCCCAAGAGTTTGAGGTTGCTGTGAGCTGGGACGCCACACCACTCTACCAAGGGCGACATAATAAGACTCTTGTCTCAAAAAAAAAAAAAAGAAAGAAAGAAAAAGAAAAAACCTGTTTGGTGGTATTGTAAATTCACTGTGCTGAGGTTGGAAGACACCTGGATAACAATTTCAACCATGTGATTCACCAGCCACACGATAATAAAAGTAATGATATCAATAAGTGGAAAAATCTTTCATTTTGATGGTATTTTTTTAATGCAGAATTTTTTTCACATATGCCTTATTCAATTTCTATCGTATTCTTTTCAAGACTCAGTTTTCTTAATCTGGAAAATGGGGGTAGTAACTCCTACTCTGTTTACTTACAGGGGTTACTGTGAGGATGAAAGACAAAGAGTGTGGAAAACTGTATTTAGAATCTGAAAGCACGAGTAGCAGGATTAGAGCCCTTCATGGGAAGAGCCAGTCTGGCCTTGTGTTAACAATACCAGGGGTCAGGAGAGAAGAGAATGGGGCTGACTTAATTTAGTCAGTTGCGTGAACCTGGAGGCAGCACAGCAGGACCTGTCCATGCACACTTTCGAGGTCTCCCGCAAATTAACAACACTAAATTAATAGCCATAGGCCTAAGATTAAAGAAACGCTGGCTAAAGATGCATTTGCCAATCTGATATCCTATAAATATGAGCTTGTCCTGGACGATTCCAAGTTGTCTCCTGTACATCAGGCTGGGGAAGTTCTCAGAACACGTTTATTTACAGGAAGCTCTATCTTTTCTCTTGGGAGCACGTTGCTCTGGAAATGACTACAACAGTATTCTGTGATACTGCCAAAGACTATTTCCTTCCATATGCTGAAAATGGTTACATAAACTGGTGCGGGGCATGAACGTCACAAGTTGGCCCCAGTGTGCTCCCCTTCTAGTTACCTTCTCCCCGTGTGAGCTATGCCCTCCACATGCTCCGGCATTCAGGAAGATCTACAGATGCTTAAATGCCCCACGTGTTTCTTTGTCAGTTCACAGTAGCTTTATCTCTGTGCTGAAATAAAATGCTTTTCGACCAGCACCCCCCAACAATGAATACAGATGGAGTCTGTCCAATCAGAGCAGACAACGTCAGAAAAAATCAAGAGATTTTTTTAACGCACATTGGCAGAGCTAAAAATTCATTTACCTGGGCAATTATGTCTGTAATTTCGGAATAACTATGGCATCTTCCCACGCAGGACCGGGCCAAGAAGTCTTCCACCAGCCGCGTTCCGATGCCATAACCCCTGTGGATGGAGGAAGAGAGTGGTCTGAAGATAGATCTGAGTAAGAGTCTCTTGGTATTTAAGAACGGAGTCACCAATTCAGCACTAGGTGGATAACAAACTAAAGCGAACATGACAAAGCAGATGGCTTTAGGCTGTGGGCTTCTTGTTGGTCCCACAGACCCCAGAAGCAGAGAGCAGCGCACCTGAGCAATATTGGCTTCTGTTCTGTAAGCAGAGGCGTCTGACCAGAATCAAGAGTGGCTCAAACTTGACAGTGTGAGTTAATTTTAAGGAGGCTGCTGTTTCCTTAAACTAACTTCCTTATCATTCGCTATTGACAGAAACAGAACTGAAAGTCTAGCTACTGTGTTTGCTGCAGGGCTGTTATCTGGATGCTCACTGTCCTCTCAGCTTTCCTTGTCATGGTACAAAGGCAGGCATTTCCATGACGGGTTTGGAAAGGAGGGGGGGAAGGGAACAGAAAAGAAAGTTTTTGTGACTGATGAAGGCATTGCAAACTTCACCAGTCCCCCAAACAAACAACGAACAAAAGTCAAGTTCAAAAAATTCACTTTTCATTCCAGGGTAAATAAACTGTGTAACTTAGGGGAAGGTATTTTTATCATCTGTTATCTCCACCCCCAGCAAATGGCTGGGGTAGCTCCTGAAGTGTGACCCTGTAAGCCTTTATTGAGCTGTGACACTGCAGCTGAGCCTGTGCCTTCAACAAGATAGGCAGAGAAACTACTGGATTTCCAAGAGAGATACAAAGAAGCGTCAGCCTCTGCCTTATGAGAACTTTCAAGCTAGTTGGAGAAATCTGACCTCAATGGTGGAAATAAAAAGGAGTACTGCCTTTGCCAACCCTCTGACACGAAACTGGGCTTCTAGTTTCACAGACATATTGTACATAGACAAGTGAAACAATTTCCCTATGGAGCCAAAACAGGCCCAAGTCACCATAGTTTTTAGAAGCAATAATTGCTCCAGAGTATCCAGAAAGGGGTAAAATTTGTGATGACTGGGCAGTTGGGGAGGGATAGAGGGGTGTCAGAGTGCTTATTAATTTACAACTCTTGTGAGATATTCCATTTGTATTTCTGAGTATATAAAAATATACACCTTTTGTATTAACCTGGATGGAGGTGGAATACATTCTTCTTAGTAAAGCATCACAAGAATGGAGAAGCAAGAATCCAATGTACTCAATTCTAATAGGAAGGCAGTAGATGAGCTAATACAAGGGAGAGAAAGGAAATGGGGGAGCGGGGAGAGGGGAGGAGGATGGGGCATCATGGCGTATGGCACACCTCTTGGGGGCAGGACATAATTATAAGAGGGACTTTATCTAACACATGCAATCAGTGTAACCTAATTATTTGTACCCCCAATGAATCCCAAACAATTAAAAAAAAGAATAAATATTCAATTTATCTTTCTTGACTTTGGAGAAAACTGGTTTATAATTGTCCCCAAAAGCTCACACTAAAAAGACTTCCAACAAACAGAATGTCAACGTTACAGAATACCAGGATTTAAAAATGTTTCGAGTGTTTTCTAATTATCACTATAAATATCTGTAGGCGCAGCCACGGGGGCCTGAGAATGATGATAATAAGCCACAGTGTGATAAGCAGTACTATATATATGTACGTACACACACACACACACACACACACACACACATACACACATTTATGCACTTTGTATCTGTGTATATATTGCTTTGGTCAAAGGGTATGTTTCTACAAAGTAGATAGTTTATAAATTAAAAATGTAAAGTCTTTTAGCAGAAGTTAGTAAATAAATCCAAATGTGAACTATTTTTCTTAAGGAGAAATTTTTCTGCAGCCTCTCAAAATTTGTTCTTTAATATTTTATTCATACTTGTTAAAATGTCTACTCAATTAGCTGATCTAAGGTACTTTTTAAAGCCAGACAAATGAGCTTCTGTATTTTCTACGGCTGTACCACAAAACAATGCATATCGGACACATGTCAAATAAAATGACCTAATTTTTGGAAATGCTGTGTCAGATGTTTAAGTGAGACCTAAGTGTAAAATGGCTGTCGCAGCTCCTGCTGTTACAGACGGTTCAGGTGAGGAAGAAACAGAAAAAGACAAAGGTGGGCGGTGGGCAGTGGGCACTTTGCTTCTTTGTGAATGCTCCTAAGAAGAAATGAAACAAGGAAAGATATGTATACCTAAATCAATGACAAAAAACTTTTTAAGAGAAAAAGAATAGCAATAAATAAAGAGAAGAAAGCAAGGGCTAAAAAAATCTTTCACTCTTTCCTTTATATTGCCTTTTTTTTTTTCTGTATTTTAACTGAAAATACAGTGAGCCCTTTTGAAAATCTCTAAAATTTTAGGCTTAATTTCCCCTCGACCTGCCTAAATAAATGTTCTAACCAACACACATTTGCTAGTCATTGCTCTGTGTGAGCCCTTTTTAGACTTCATAATTAAGAGGTTCAAAAATTTTGACATGTTTTATTGTTTGGCAATAATCCCATGATCATAAACTTATGCTTTTCTTATGTGAGAAAATTAAGTAGAATTTGTGCAGGAAGAATGTCCAGTCATGAAGACAAGAAGGATGAGCTTTATTTAAAAAAGAAAGAGTGGCTCTTTCTATTTAATATACTTTTAAGTAAAGCATGGTAATGGTAAAACATTCGAGAAATAAAAATGCTACAGGAGAATGAAAATCTCCCTCCAACCTACAATTCCCAGTCTCTCAGTCTTCCTCTTGGGCAATGACCATTGGTAGTTTTTTGCATGTTCCTTTTTTCTTTTTTTCTTTTTTTTTTTGTTGCATTTTGGCTGGGGCCAGGTTTAAACCCACCACCCTTGGTATATGTGACCAGTGCCCTACTCACTGAGCCACAGGCACCACCCATGTTCCACAGATGGTCTATACTTGAGTAGGCATGAATGTATATCGGAAGGAGTTATGTTAGAACAAAAGACTTCCGAAAAAATACAATTTGCCCTTCTATCATATTGCTAAGAGAACAATTTCAGTTTTGCCACATCTTTTGCTTGTGAGCGACTAGCAAAGAAATGATTTCTAATTAAAAAGAAACATTGCACACTTGATATTCACGGGGAGGAAAAAAGTTCTCTTCTATTACTTTATGCTGTGAGCCCATGTGGCACTTGTGAGAAATTACGTTCATCTTTCAGATGTGATTCATTGAGATAGAAGAAAAGCTGGTAAAATGGAGCTACAGAAATCGTCAGGGGAGGAAAGGGCAGGTGATGGAAAGACACAACAGGAATTACACAAGAATGAAAGACTTCTACTTACATTTTATCTAAATATTTGTTCACGTCTTCATCTTTTTCATAATCCTTACACAGTTGGGCAACCAGAGCTCCATAGGTGAGGACAAAGAGATCTTTGTTCTGGATAGAAATGAATGGTTTTTTGTTCATTGGCAAATTTATGATAGCATGCAACTGTACTTTTTTGTATTTACAAACTCTCTTGGTTGGAGATATCCTTAGAGATCATCTGTCCATTTTTCCACCCTTCTATTGCCACAATTTGCACTTTTGAGAACCAAGTATACTCACATATGGATACATTGTTTGTGTGGAGGGGAGCACTGTGAAATAAAATACATCTCTTAACATGAGAACATCTTTCTCTGCATCAGTTTACATTAAGCAACTTGCCGTGTATTTTCTCAGAGGAAGGCTTTTTAAAGATACTAACTTCTAACATCAATTTCTGTTTTTCTAGAATAGTTTTACATCTGCTGACCATGATTTCAGTCAGAAGGGAGAATTGGATGAGAGTCCTCATGAGTCTGCACAATGCCTAATGGGTCCCAGATCTACCCAGAAGACCTTTAGGATACACTCAAATGCAGCAACACATTTACGAGATTGTTTTTCTTTTTACTTAGAGAAAAAAGGGGAACATGAGCTTTCCTTATACATCAACAAAATTTGTCTCATTGTTAGAGTGACTTATAAATGAAAACTAAAACGGAGGGCAATTTAGGTTTGATTTAGCACAGGCATGTTGAATACATATATACGAGAAATAAAATACAAATCTCAATCAATCCATTTCGAACACCCTGTCAGTTTTGCTTCTGCTGTTGGATACTACCCAAGAAAAGGAAGGGACCCTTGGAGAAAATTCATTCCAATGCCCTCAGTCCTGCAGAGAAGAGAACAAAGCCTCCGAGGGACTAAACGACCTGCCCAACTAGCCAGCGGTTGTTCAGAATGGCATCTCGTTCAGGCCTCCGTGTGACACAGCATTTATCTCTAAGTGTGCAAAGGAGGACACTATTCAGAGTAAAGGTGGGCAGGAGTGGGAGGTAGGAAGCGGGATCACTATTGAACACAATCTTATTTTGTGCATGATCTTGTATTTTCATGAAAGGTCAAATGTGGATTCCAGGGTAGAAGAGGGGTCCTTATCTTTTGGCCCAGGTTTTTTGGATAGTCTAATATATAGGGGAAGGTAAGGTCTGATAATATATATTCTTTCCTTTAACCTTGGGCAGAAATGGCTCCAAAAAACCAATAAAAATGTCGTATTTAACAAAGTGGCTTCTAGAAAATATGATAGAATTTTCATTCAAGTACTTCCAAAGTTTCTCCAATATCACAGCGTCCCCTTCCTTATTTATGGGTTTATATCACGACAAACATGCTTCTTCACAAGGTAAAATATTTATTCTCACAAAGTAAATTTAAAATGAATAGAATATAACTATTATATGATACATATGAACATAATTCATATGGAGAAATGTAAATCAAAGCGTCTTAAATGTATTTGGACTATACAGTAATTAACATTATGTTAAGGACACTAATATATATGATTTAAGTGTAGGAAAATGGGGAGTATGTTACTATTTTTGCCAGGAAACAAAGGTTGTAAGCAATATGAACAGTGATGTTGTTAAAACACAGAAGGGGCACCACACATTTGATTTTAATTTCATTCTTATCCCTTAAATCTTCCAAGAACTTAATTATAAATCACAAGAAATGCTGTAAATTATAAATGAAGCATCTGCCTAATATACAGAGCAGGAGACAAAGGACTATCATTGTCCACTGCTCCAGCATAAAAATACACAAAAGAGAAAGAAAGAGAATGAAAAAATGTTTGTTGCCACTAGCAGCAAAAGAAAAGAATTCAAAAAAGACAAAAAGAAAAAGGAAGAAAAAAAATCATACCCTCGTATATACCATAGCTTCATCATTCTTAAGGCCAAAGTGATTAACGGCATTTTTTTTTTCTCTCTGTCTTTCTCTCTCTTTCTATCTTGGGGCGGTGTGGAGGTACTGCTATATTTTTAAATATTTTACTTCCAGCTGAGTTTTGAGTTTAATGCCCAGAAAGGCCCATTTTCTCCATTCTGGTTCATAGCAAGGGCTGTAACTTGAACTACAAGGTCAGAGTCTCAAATCCACCATGGATCCCAGGAAAGGTCCACCTAAATTTATGGTTTTTAAAACAATAAAGAGTGTCACTTCTATATGTGAAAAAGTAGAATGCCATTAAGTGTTTCAGGAGGTTTTAGATGTATCAGGATAAAACTGTGTCTTCACTGCTAGATAAATCAAGTGATACAGGTACAATACGAATTTGTACAAAATTTTTTAGCATTTGAGAGCCTCACAAGAAAATAAATCAAATTGCCAGAATATCAGACAGCGCCTCTACAGGCATTTCAAACTGGGCTATGCCAGTTGGTCGCTATAATTCTAAGTGCTGTATGGCTGAAATTACTTAATTATAGCAAAAGCCCATCAGTTTTTGGGAATAATTAACACAACTTTAAACTTGATGAATTTTTACCTCTGTTACCTATGAATGGCTAAAACTATAAGAAAGGATGAAAGAATACTTACCCAAGTGTAATCTGCAAAAAATTAAGTTGTAAAAGTAACTCTGAACTTGGAACACATAGGACAGGTAACATCACATACCAAATTACAATAGTAAAGACTTACATTTAATACTAAGAAATACATTTTAAATGCAACCTTTTAATACCTAGTTTTAAATGTCTGTTCTTATTTAATTTTACACATAATCAACTATTTTACACACATTTCCTTTCCTATTTCAGGAAGTCTCAAATACAAAGGATTGCTTGACATTTTCATATTTTTTGTCCATGACAAAATACAAATTTGATACTTCATGGATATGATTAGTCAGAAAAGACCCTAAAATCTGTATAAAGAATTGGCTATTCTTTTACAGTATGTAATAGATCATTATAACACTTCCTGGAGGTATCGTTTACGATTCACTTCACTGAACACTCTTTGCTCCAATGAAAAATTCTTATAGCATCACCTTTCAAATAAATCAGTAATAATTCAAAAAAACATTTTCAATGAAGTAGAAAAAAGTCTCTTTATGAAAAGATCTTACTATTTTATGGTATTCTGGTCTTCTGTGTGCAGGGCGAGACATGGTGCTTGATAGATGAAGAATATGATTCTGAATTTCCTTCCTTGCCCCTTGCTTTGAGACGAGAGTGCCACTTCTACACTCTACTGCTTTTGAGCTTTGCTGAACTGAATAGGGAAAAAAGTTGCGAACAACAGGATGGTTTTATAACCAAATGACTTGCCAGGGATCAAATAACTGTTTCATTGGTGAGGATGAGTTGTAATCCAGAACGATAAAAGCTGATAGTGTGAAGTCAGACCAGAAACATTGAGACACTAAAAAATTCTTTGGCCCAAGGGAGTTCAAGAGTGGTATTTTGCTCTCATGCCAAGGCATTATTTTAAAATCACCAACAGAAACCTTCACAATCCAAGACAGATCTAAATGTTAGCATTATTCCATCTTGTATTGATTGTTGTATGAATTGGAGAGACAGGATCAGCAATCTATAGGTACTAAATATGAGTTCAAACTTGATCAACACTATCAGTGGGTATCACATTGTCCCCCAAATCCACACCTCCATATTGTGTGATTACAATATTCAAATATATCTGGTAACCTTTTTGCCCCCTTTCTCTTAGTAACAATCGGGGAGCAATTTTAAAGAGCGATAGAATGGTTGATATAGTCTTGCAAAACTATTGCTTGAAATGGGTACTCTGCAATTTAATAATGTATGCTGATTCTGGCAGACACAGCAAGCCCTTTACTTTCTTGCAATAATTCCTAAGACGTTAGCTATGGAAGGCTCTCTTCATTTATACAGAAGTCTAGAGATTCAAAGTTCAAACAAACAAACAAAAAAACATCCGTTTCATCTTGACAACTGTAGGATGCAGAGGATTAAATTCCAAGCAGAAATAGAGGAACAAAATTCAATTTAGGAAAGTATTTTCCTGCTTCTTACGGTTTGAGTCAGGAAGTCCTATTTGTTCTGGCTAAAAAGTGACAGACCAGCGAATACTTTGAAGAAAAGTTTTGTGTAATTGAAGAACATAGGAGGATTTGGGAGGCTCGGGGCAAGTTGCAGTTCTACCATTTACCAGTTCTGTGACCTTGGGCAAGCTGTTTTATTGTTCCATGGGTCAATTTCCACATCTGCAAAATGGCAACAATATTACTCATTTCAAAGAATAATTGTGAGTATCAAAGAGAAAATTTGAGTTATAAAGCACATTATAATGCACTGCATAAAAATTATTCACTGTAGGTTATTCATGTAGTTGAACAGACTGAATGGAATTCTATAATACAGGGTGTCCATGAAGTTGGTGTGCAATTTATTATACAGTAAACCAGTTTAAATTGCACACGAACTTTTTGTCCACCCTGTACATAGATATTCAAGGCATTTTCATTTGTACCTAAGTTCTCTGACACTGTGATCTCAGGAAAATCAGTTTTGTTGGGTTGTGCAGTGGGGGTGAGGGGCTTTACAGTAGCAATTAATAACAAATTATATTTACATAAACTTTACATTCTCTCTTTTTAATTGTCATATGAAAGTTAAGTTTTATTTACTGCACTATTCTTTTGTCAAATCATAGCTGTGTACATTAATGCAATTATGGGGTACAATGGGCTGTTTTTATATACAATTTGAAATACTTTCTTCAAACTGGTTAACATACCCTTTGCCTCATTTTCTTAGTTATTGTGTTAAGGCATTCATATTCTACACTTAGTAGATTTAACATGTACCCTTGTAACATGCACCATAGGTGTGTTCCCACCAATTACCCTCCCTCCACCCATCCTCCTCCCTCCCTGCCCTTCCCCTCCTCTTTCACGTTCATCTTGGGCTGTAGTTGGATTATAGCTTTCATATGGAAGTGTGAGTACTTATAAATTGGTTTCATAGTAGGGCTGGGTACATTGGATACTTTTTATTCCATTTTTGAGATACTTTGCTAAAAAGAATATGTTCCATCTCCATCTATGTAAACATAAAAGAGGTAAAGTCTGCATCTTTTTAAGGCTGCATAATAATTCATGGTGTTGTGTACATATAGCACAATTTATTAATCCATTCATGGGTCAATAGACACTTGGGCTTCTTCCATGACTTAGCAATTATGAACTGGGCTGTAATAAACATTCTGGTGCAAATATCTTTGTTATAAAGTGGATTTTTGGTCTTCTGGATATGTACTTAGTACCGTGTTTCCCCAAAAATAAGACCTACCCCCAAAATAAGCCTTAGCAGGATTTCTATGCATTTGTTAAATATAAGCGCTACCCCAATAATAAGACCTATTGATGGGCATGGCTATGCAGCGTATCTGCATAGCCACGCCATGCATTTTGGTGCGGAGCAGTAAGGAAGACTGGAATACCATTTATCTGCCACAGCTCCTTTGTCTGAGCCATTTGCACTTGCTCGGGTGCGCATGTGGTAACCGCGGTGGCAGGCATCCTATCCTGCATGTGCGAATGGCTAGGGGAAAGGAGTTCCTGCATCACTAGTGCCAGCCCCACCAACAAGTTGAGCTCCCTCTGTCAGGTTCCAGAAGAAGATGACTTAACTGTATTTGAATAAATGTAGATTGTTTTCTTATACTTAATAAAAATAAGACATCCTCTGAAAATAAGCCCTAGTCTGTCTTCTTGCAAAAAAATAAATATAAGACAGTGTCTTATTTTCGGGGAAACACGGTAGAGGAATTGTAAGATCCAATGACAGGTCTATTTTTAGATCTCTAAGTGATCTCCAAACTACTTTCCAAAAAGAATGTATTAGTTTGCATTCCTACCAGTGCAGTGCAGAAGTGTTTCTCTTTTCTCCACATCCACGCCAACATCTATGGTTCTGGGATTTTGTGATGTGGGCTAATCTTACTGGAGTTAGAGGATATCTCAAAGTGGTTTTGATTTGCATTTCTCTGATCATTAAGGATGATGAGCATTTTTTCATGTGTCTGTAGGCCGTGTACCTGTCTTCTTCAGAGAAGTTTCTCTTCAAGTCCCTTGTCCACACTAAGATGGGATCACTTGTTCTTTTCTTGCTAATATGTTTGAGTTTTCTGTGGATTCTGGCTATTAAACCTTTGTCAGAGACATTACCTAGTAATATCTTCTCCCATTCTGAGGGCTGTCTACTTGCTTTACATACTGTGTTCTTGGCTGTGCAGAAGCTCTTTAGTTTGATCAGATCCCAGTAATGTATTTTTGGTGTTGCTTCAATTGCCTGGGGTCCTCCTCATAAAATATTCTCCCAGGCTGATTTCTTCAAGTGTTTCCCCTGCACTTTCTTCTAGTAGCATTTTTATAGTTTCATGTTTTAAGTTTAAATCTTTAATCCAGTGAGAGTCTACATTCTCTTTACCTCATTTTAATTCAGCTATAATCGGTTCAGTAGTCAGTGCTATAATCATGGCTATTTTATGGGACAGTTATCTAAAAGTTGAAAGGTAAAGAAATTTATTTGAAGTTCCCTGGATAGTAGGCAACAAAGAGGGATTTGAGCTAAATTTGCTGACTCTAAGTCATTTTTTTTTCCTAGTGTATACACTGAAATTATGCTAGAACAAACTATGTTAGAGGTAGACTCATAACACCCAGTAAGGTGCAGGGACAGCATGTGTGCGTGGTGGGAGGGGACGGATGGGCTGGTCCTGTGGGAGAACTTGGGCAGCTGGGTAGAGACTTGGGGAGACAGTAATGAAGGAAAACATCCACTGACCTGCTGGCCGCGTGACCTCCATCTGAGATTATTCACAACTGTCGGAAAAAGCACAGCTACTTCTGGTCCAGCGACTTACCTTATTGCAACTTCTTTTTCCCTTTGAGGTTGCCTTTGGTGCGTATCTTAGCCTGCTATGCTAACATAAAACAGGTGTGTGATTTTTCTCTGCACCTCCCTCACCCTCACCAAGGACAGCTGTGGCGCTTAGGTCTGAGTTTCTTTATCCACGTGCCACACATGCTCAGTGAATGAGCTGGGGGGTCCCTGCTGAGAAGGAGGTATGTGCTAACTGTATATGGAATAGATGGGTGACATCAAGCTATCTTTAATAAGAGGACTATAAAGGCTACAATGGTCAACTGTCCCCCAAAATTCACGTGTTGAAATGTAATCGCCATTGTGGTGGTATTAAGAAGTGGGGCCCTCTGAGAAGTGACTAAGTCATGAGGGTACTGCCCTCATTAATAGACTAGTGTCTTATAAGAGGAATGAAAAGAATTCATTTGGGTCTTGTTTTTTTGCTTTTCTGCCTTGTAAGGACAAAGCATCCACCCTTCCTGGTCCTTCTGCCATCAGCCACATGAGGACATGTCAACAAGGTGCCATCTTGGACACAGAGCAACCCTGACCAGACACCAAGGCCAGCTCCTTGATCTTGGAATTCCCAGCCTCCAGAACTGTAAGAAATAAATTGCTGGTTTTAAACAAATTACCCAGTCTCAGATATTTTGTTAGAGCAGCACAAAAAGACCAAGACAAGGGCCCAAATAAATTGGATGACTCATATATATAATCATCACAGTCATTGACAAGTTACACACTAGTATTGCAAATGAAGCAATTAGTTCTTTCTATAGTAAACAATCACAAAAACTTAGGTATTGGTCACCAAAAACCTACCTTATAGCAAGAATTTGACCCTCCAATAGTGACTTCTTATTGATCAACCAATTCTTCATCCTTTTCTACAAAACTCCCTAAATAAATGATCTTCAATTTCCTTTCTCATGTCCTCACCATATGCAGATGCTCCTTGACTGGCGATAGGGTTATAGACTGACAAACTCATAGAAAGCTGAAAATGCATTTAATACATCTCGTCTACCAAACATGAAAGGTTGGAATAGCCTGCCTTAAACATGCTCACACTTACATTAGCCCACGGCTGGGCAAAATCACCTCACGCAAAGCCTATTTTATAATAGAGCATTAAATATCTCAAGTAATCTATTGAATATTGTACTAAAAGTGAGAAATGGAATGGTTGTATGGGAACTTTTAGTATGATTTCTACCAAATGTGTATGGCTTTTGTAATATCACTGAAAACGATTTGTACTCTAATTAATTGGTTTTTATATTTGAAATTATAAATGTAAGGAAAGATAGGGTCCTTACTACCAAGCTTTACTGAACACATTGCTATATACACTTCAGGCTTGTTGTAATCAGTAAAGCAGTATTGATACAACTGCGATTCTTATACCCTTCTTAATCCTGTGTTTTCCTCCTCAGTGGCCACCATCACCCAGAACTTGAGATTTATCGTTCCTATGCACCTTGTAAAGTTGAACATATATTAGTGTCCACAAAGAATATGTAATCTTATTTTGCATGTTTTAAAACGTTGCATAATATTTCTCCTATTGCATTTATCCTACAGCTCGCATTTCTCTCTCAAAGTTATTTGCTAAGATTTGCTCATATCCATACCTGTCACTGTAGATCATTTATTTTCACAGATTTATAACAGGATTCAGCAAATTTTTTCTGTGAGGGGCCAGAGAGCAAATATTTTAGACTTTTCAGCCATGCAGGCTATCATAGCAACTCAACCCTACTGTCACAGTGTAAAAGCAGTCACTAACACTTAAGGAATAGTGATGTGGCTATGTCTCAATAAAACCCTGAACACTGAAATGTGACCTTCATGTAATCTTCATGTCACAAAATAAATTTGTAAGAATTTTCAGCTGTTTTTAAATGTAAAAAACCATTCTTAGATCTCAAGGCATACAAAACAGGCAGTGGGACAATTTGGTCCCTGAGCCAGCTTACCCCTACTTGATAGCATTTATTGTTGTGGTTTCTTAATCTGTTCCTTGTTATTGGACATTGATGTTGAAATATTGAAATTTGAAATATCGAATATTTTTGTGATTGCCTACATGACCAATATATTTTGGTAAATAATTTGGGGGAAACTTATAAAAATGTGTATTTTCTACTTGTAGGGTATAGACTACTACACACACACAGACACAAATATGGGACAAAAATTTGCTAAGTGTATTCTTTACATTTTTATGTCCTTTCTAATCATTTTATTTCTAATAAAGTATATTAAAATCTTTATGATTACAGGAATTTCCCCTTACAGTTTGATTATTTACTGCTTCATATATTTCAAAGTTTTGCTACAATAAACATACCAGTTCACCATTGTCACATCTTCATAATGGGTTGTTGCTTTTATTATGATGGAGTTTTCAAAATTAGCCCATTTGACACTCTTTGCCTTTTGCACAGATTTGCCTTCTATGCATATTCTTGTTCCCAGTGATACATATTTTAATACCTTTCTTTTCAAGCTTTGTATATGGTACAATTTTGGGAGTGTCACTTATCACCAGCATGAGTCTATTTTTTAAATGCTTTGTAGGTGGGTTGAATCCAACTCTGGCTTGGTAGTTAAAAGCACATGCCAGACCACCTGGGTCGTACTCATCTGTGTGTGATCCTGGGCAATTTCCTTTATCTTCCCACACCTCAGTCTTCTCATTTATAAAAACACTGAGGATAACTGTGGTACATAATCATAGGGTTAAATAAGGAATAGGAATTAAATAACAATTAAATGAGAATTAAATAGGATACAGTTCCTAGAACAGTGCCTAGCATGTAATAAGCACTCAGTAATTATTAGCTGTTTAAAATTTTTTGTGTGTGATTATTGATGTATTTGGTTTCACTTCTACCATTAGTTTTCTCTTTACCATCCCTTACCTTTGGTTTACTATTATATCTCTTTTTCTGTCTACATTCCCTTTTTCTCTCTGCTTTTTGAATGATCTACATATTGTATTTCTGTTCTTTTAGTGATGATTCTTAAAATATGTATGGCTTTATTGAATGTGATTGATAGATAGCTTGACAAGTTTCAAACTACTACTGAAGCCACCAAAGCAATCACTATAATTAACATGTCCATCACCCCTCTTCTAGCTGTGTTTTCTCAGATTCTGTAAGTGTCTATTTGGCATCATCAATTACAGGGCGAAATAATGGCTGAGTTGTTTATACCTCCTCTGTGATCCAGAGCCCAGACTCTGAACCACTTCCTTAACTAGGTCTCACATACCAAGCTAATAGTCACCCTTCCCTAAATCAACCATGGCCAGGTAGCAGTCAAGTGGGGACAACCTCCATGCCCCCAAGCCAGACAGAATTATTTAAACTAGCCAATCATAAATGTTTCCCCCTCCCGGCCTTGCCTTTCCCACATAAAGCCTAATAGAGGCTCTGGCCTCGGCTTTCCCTGCCCTTTCTGCTCCTTGGCCAATTCTGATGCTTCCTCCTATGACTCTGTGTAGTGTGGCATATATGACACCCACTCTTGGGAAATGTAAGTTAATCATTTTTCTTTCAATGGCATTGTCTTTTTCACGTCATTACTGTCATCTCCATAAAGTAAGATCCTGCTGATACAAGTTGACACAGCCCCCCAAATTTTCTCATGTCCTTTTGTAACTTCTGCTTATTCCTTCTCCTAGACTCCCCAGGCAACTCCTGGTCTCCTTTCTGTCAGCAGAGATTAATCTATATTGTCTAGCATCTTACGCAAATAGAATCATATATTATACAGTAATTTTTTGAATTCTCTAATGCAGAAAATTATTTTTTAATTCATTCATGTTATTGTATATATTGTATATATCAATAGTTTTGTATTTTGCTGAGCAGTGTTTTATCATATGGATTTATGATACTTTGTTGATTCCTCCATCTACTGGCTAACATTTGGGTTGTTTCCAGTTTATGGCTGTGCTACATAGAGTTGGTGTGGGCATTTACATACCCATTTTCATGTGGACATGTGCTTCCATTTCTCTGATGTAAACAATTAGCAGGTGAATGACTTGAGGTATAAGAGGATGAAGTACCACTAACTCTTAAATAAAATGACAGTTTTCCAATGTGATTGTTCCTTTTTTCATTCCCACCATTTAACCAACATTTAACACGGTTAATCTTTTTAATTTTAGCCATTTTAATGGGGATGTAGTGATACCATGTTAATACCCTAGTTGTATTATTTGAAATAAAAAGCAGTTATTTATACAGCTAATTATTAAATAAGGAACTTTTAAAATGTCTCACAGATGCTCATCATTGTTTCTTGTTGCCATATCTTTCCTTGGGCCTTATTTTTCTTTTTACCAAAATATATCCTTTTGCAATCCTTTTAATAAAGTTCTGTTGGGGGTAAATGCCCTTAGTCTTTATGTATCTTTATTTTTCTTGTCTGAATGACAGTTTAGCTGGCACTGACCACGCTGCAGGCACTGTCAGCTGTTTGCTGTGGATGAGAAGTCTGCTGTCAGTTTATTGATATCCTCTATTTTTCACATTCTGCAGTTTTACTCTGTGTCTAGGAGTGGAATTACCTTTATTTATGCCGCCCAAAATAAAAAACATTCTTCTGACATTGCCTATTACTATTACTATTTCTTCAAACATTGCCTCCCTGCCTATCCTTTTTTTTTTTTTTTCCTGGAAGTCCTATTAGAAAGCTGGTGGAGTTGCTTAGTCTAACCCCTATTTCTCTCAACTGCTTCTAAAAATATTTTATTTCTTTGACGTTTTGTACTGCATCTTGAATGAATTCCTCAGTCCTGTGTTCCAATTCACTCTATGTATTTAACCATGTCTAGTTGAAAGTTTGAGATGAGAAATTTACATCAGAGTCACTTATTTATAAGCCTAAACCAAGCCTAGTCCAGTGCCTTCATATAGAAATTATATAATTATCATAGTATTTCCTGGTTAGCAAACATAGAAAACACATTTCTTGCTTATAGATATATAACTTTATTAAAAGCCAAATATCACATTTTCACATAACAAAAAGATATAAACAAAATCGCAGGGCTGGGCCACCTGTGGCTCAACTGGCTAAGGCGCCAGCCACATACACCTAAGGTGGCCGGTTCAAATCCAGGCTGGGCCCACCAAACAATAATGGCAGCTGCAACAAAAAAAAATAGCTGGGCATTTTGGCGGGCGCCTGTGGTCCCAGCTACTTGGGAAGTAGAGGCAGGAGACTGGCTTGAGCCCAGGAGTTGGAGGTTGCTGTGAGCTGTGATGTCACAGCACTCTACCCAGGGGGATAGCTTGAGGCTCTGTCTCAAAAAAAAAAAAAAAAATCGCAGGTTAATTTTTAAAGCAAAACCATAATAATCTGTTAATACAAACAGATTTTAAATTTTTATGCAAAGTTGGAATGTTTCTGTTGGGATTTGGCTTTAGGGGCAGCTTAGCTTGTTCCTGTTTCTTGGGCTCGTCTGGCAGAAGCTTCAGGCTAGGGACATTCCAGCCAGCCTAAATTTTGCATTGCTCTAATATTTGATAATTTTCATCATTTCCTATATTTTTTTTAATGGTGACAAAATCCTGGTCTAGTCCAAGAGTAAGAAGGTCTCTGTTTTGCTTCCAATGCTTAATTTGCTGGTGCTCAGCATTCTGTGTTGTAGAAAGATGGGGCAGTTGGTGTACAAGGCCGCATCCTCTTTCAGGGGAAAGATACACCACAGACGTTTCCCCCTTCGCACATACAAGAGGTTCCTCTCCCTCAATTTCTTCCTAATATGAAGTGCATTGATTACCTCAAGGTTCACCAAGTGCACAAGGAAGATGCTAGAATCCTTTAAACATGTAAGGATGTTGGGTCACCCGATACAACCAGTCAGACCAGTAAGATCCCATAAAATGGGGACAGCTGGTGGAGTCCGGCGACCAGAAGGGGCCCTGAGCTGATGTGAGGAAGAGCTCCCCACGATGAGCCGGACTCTCCACAGCATCGTGTCTTCACTGCAGAGAAGCGGAACATTTATCAATTCTTTAATCGCAGCATTGACTATTTGTGGGCAACAAGCCTTCTCGTCCTTCACATTCAGGTGTCCCTGTCAAGTGGGGAAAAATTTCTTGTACGGTTCTGCTTTCCTTGTCATGCCTGCCTTGATCCTCCTGGTAGCCGGCTATGCCCTGAGAAGGCAGATGTGGACGATCACCGGAGAGCACTGCTGCAGCTGCGCCCCTGGGCGCCGGAGGCTCAGCCCCCTGGAGCGCAGGCTGGCTTGCCTCGGCTGCTTCGGCATCACTGGCAGGGCAGTTGTCGCTCCCCTGGCGTGGCTGGCGGCCACCCTGCTGACCGGCACCTACTACGAATGCGCAGCGAGTCAATTCGCCTCCGTGGACCATTACCCAGAGTTTGCTAACTTCAGCGCCAGCGAACGAGAAGAGATCCTGGCTGGGTTTCCGTGCTCCACGCCCCCTCCTTCTGACCTCCTCCCAGTGAGAGATGAAATAGTTCTTCTGCACAGATACCAGTCACAAGTAAGGTTTTGATTTCCCCCCTTCCTATCCTGTAGTAACTATGTTCCCTGGAAACATTTCTCACCTTGCTGGATCTCACATTGTCTATGGAACACATCCTGGATGTCATTCATCAAAGTGAGTTCTCAGCAGCCCTATAAATATAGTTAGGGTGTTGGGCTTTGAAGTCAGCAGACGCGGGTTTGAGTCTTGCTTTGCCACTTATGAACCTGTAAAACCCTGAGTAAAATGGGGGTATTAATAGTGCCTATTACATGGGGCACTAAATAAAGGAGCAATGCATCTTAAGCCCTCAACAAGGCACCTAGAATCTATATTGAGAACAATAACCCTTAGATATGAATATTATTACTGTATTACTAAATCCCATCTTCTTACATATATGTATTCTTAAATATGTATGTTTATATATTAAATCTCATCTAAAATTACAGACAGCTTAATTATGATAAAAAAGCTCCAATTTTGATTCTAAATATAGTGTCTATGGATAGGTTTGTGCCAGAAAGTATGGTGGAATGAGAGGGAATCCCCTGGATTTATTGGTTAAATTTTAAAAATGTAATTATGCACTTACTGCAAAAAGAGCTGTTCATTATATTAGTTTTCATCAGTTTCTCTAAGGGATATGAGGAAAAAACATGTTTCCAAACCTCTGGAATACAGTAAAAACATGTTATTTTTTACTGTAAACTTTATTACCTGTAACCTTAAAGTAATTAAAATTTAGAAAAGATAATGCTCTTTAGTTGAAAGAAAAAAAACCCCACTACTAGCAAGACACAAAATACCAAAGGATTGCAATACATCCCGTTTAGGAAAAGCTAGAAATCCCATCAAGGCTGAGCGTGGTGGCTCCTGCCTGTAATCCTCACACTCTGGGAGGCTGGGGTGTCACGGCATGAGCTGGAGTCCCAGCTACTTGGGAGTTTAAGGTTTGAAGTTGCCCTGAGCTATGAGATGCCACTGCACTATTCTACCCAGGGTGACAGTGAGATTCTATAAAAAAGAAAGGAAAGAAAGAGAGAGAGAAGAAAGGAAGGAAGGAAGGAAGGAAGGAAGGAAGGAAAGAAGAAAGTCCTATCCAGTATATGCTTTATTTCAATTTTTTTTATACTAGCCCTAAAGCTCAGAGGATGTGGAGATAAACAAAAATTCAAAAAATCAGTGGGAAATTATAACTTTAAAAAATGTTCTTGCTGGCAGTGCCCATAGCTCAGTAGGTAGGGCACACGTACACTGAGGCTGGTATGTTTGAACCTAACCTGGGCCAGCTAAACAACAATGTCAACTGCAAAAAAAAAAAAAAAAAAGGAAAAAGAAAAAAATACCCAGGTGTTGCGGTAGGTACCTGTAGTCCCAGATACTTGGGGGGCTAAGGCAAGAGACTCGCTTAAGCCCAAGAGGTTGAGGTTGCTGTGAGACTCTGTCTCAAAAAAATAAAAGGTTCTTGCTTATGAAAAACTAAAATGTAATACACCACAGTCAGATTTTCTTAAAATAAAAGTAAAATGTCTTATTAAACATATCCACAGACTTCTGTAAAAAGACAGTTTTACAGTTTTGAGTACATCACCCATGCATTTTTTAGTTTTGTGACAAAACTTACACTTATTGAGATACTTATTATATACTGTATATAACTCTTAACTCTAATTCTCATGATACTGACAGACACATATTATTAACCCCATTTTACAGGTCAGTAAATCAAAGCTCAAAAAGTTTATGTAACTTGTATAATTCATAGAGGTGATAAACAACTAATCAAGATATCCTAAAATCATGCTATTTCCATCTCATCAGGCCACCTTCTGCAACAATCTCAAACTTCAGTTACATTTGAGGCTGGGCGCGGTGGCTCAGGCCTGTAATCCCAGCACTGTGAGAGGCCAAGGCAGGTGGATTGCTTGAGCTTAGGAGTTCAAGACCAACCTGAGCAAGACCCCACGTCTAAAAACAGCTGGGTGCTGTGGCAGGCACCTGTAGTCCCAGCTATTTGGGAGTAGCTCTAAGGAGGTAGCTCTCTCTTGGCTGAGGCAATAAAATGACACTATGACACTCTACTGAGGGCAAAAAAGTGAGACTCCGTCTCAAAAACAGATAAATAAGTAAATAAAATTACATTTGAGGAGTACACACGTTTTTTCAGCTGGACTTTTCTGACTTGACCACAAGATCACATTAAATTCCAGGGCAACCTGGAGCTCAGTAAATGATAGTTTATGAATTAATGGGCATCAGGGGTGGCTTTTCCTCTACATGCTGGTCTCTATAAAGTTAAATTGTGAGGAGCATCACTCTGTCGGTTTTAGCCCCCACAGGCTGCAGGTATCCCATCATGCACATGCTGGTAACTGCCCCAAGCTGCAGAAGAGGCCTTCGCTGCCCAAACCGTGGCTGGGTACTGCTGGCTTCCCTAAATGTGTGGAACTTGTCTCTCTCACTTTACAGAATAGCTATAAAACATTCCAAAGAGAATAATAAGAAAAAAAGAGAATTCTAAACCTAGAAAATAGCCATTTATGTCAGTGCTTAAACTCTGAGACTAGATAATCTCAAATAAAAACTAGGTTATTCTCTTCTCAAAGTATGTTTCCAAGACACATAATAAAACTGGTCATCAAATGACTATTTGAGGACAAAGGAAATGAACAGGAAAACACTAAGGTACTTTAGGCACAGTGGCTACTCCATCAGTGATGCATGGAGACATGAGTTTGCTCACTGACTGACTTGTCTGGCCGCAAAAGATGAGAGGAAAGAGCAACTTAGGAAACAATGTCAACAAATGTGTGAAGGCACAGCAGAGAAGACACCTTAGGAGACTACTATTACTGTGCCTTATACCACCACCTTCACGACTATCGTTATCAAATACTTTTTTAACATCCAAATAACGCACAGGCCTGTACCTGATGGTTGAGAAGTAAGGTTTAGGGAAAAGCAAAAGAAAGCTGTGTATCTTGTATCAGTTAATTGGTGGGTTATAGTATCTGTCACTTTAAGAACATACTTAGAATCCATTCCGATTAACTGGTCAAATTCCTTTGCAACCTGAAAATCAGCTTGAAATGGCTGGGCCCATCCCCTCCATCAGACCAATTTCCACATCAAATGATCAGCAACTTGTTACATAGGAAGTGTCCCAAAGGTCGCCATACATAGGAAAATTAACAAACTCATATTTTCTATCTGTAATATTTTATATTTATATGACAACATGTAGGGAACTACTGGTGAATATTTTATAAAATTATGTAATGAATATTTTGTCAATAAAGATACATTTAGCTACAACTTAACCATTTTCCCTATGTGTGGGGACCTTTGGGAGGAGATAGGCCCAGCCTGTACCTAATGGTTAGAAAAGCAAATTCCTTACCCACATTTTAGTTCTCAGTTTTATGGGAATTCCTCCTCCCATTGCTGTTCTTAGATATTTGATGTATTGATACTTCCTGGGTTTTGTTTGTTTCTTAAATAATGATGTGCAGATGCTGGGCTGGATTTTGATCACCTTGGCAACCATCACTATCCTGGTCTCCTCCTGTCTGGCGAGGTGCTGCTCTCCCCTCACCTCCCTGCAGGACTACTACTGGAACAACCACCTCCAGAATGAGAGACAGCTCTTCGAAGAGGCGGCAGAGCAGCACTCCAGGCTCCTCATCACGCAGCGGATAAAGAAACTATTTGGCTTCGTTCCCGGGAGTCAGGATGTCACACACATCCGTATCCCTTCATGTCAGGACTGGAGAGATATTGCAGCACCCAGTCTTCTATGCATGGGTGATTTCTTGCAGGGCGACTACAGCAGGGTGGATGAGGATAATGAGCAAGACACATCAAGAGGCATTGAATTAAAACCTTGATTGTAGCACCTGTCAGAATTCAGGTTGTGTGACAGATACTTGGTTATTGATCAATGTAAGCTTTTGTCTCTCTTCTGACATGTGTTTACATAGGCCCAACTCAAATGTTGTTTCCAAAATCACGTTACCTGATAAGTGTGCCTGCCTCTCTCTGTGAAATTTCACTGATGGTCTGGTAATGCCTAGAGTATCCTTCTGGTCTAATTAAAAACCGGATGGAATTTGAGGTTATACCAAAGTTTGCATCTTATTTCTGTTACTTCACAGCTGTGTAAAAGTTACCATTTCTGAGTGCCATTTTGTCACCTGCACAGTGTATCCCACAGAACTGGTGTGAGGATTGAATGTGATAATATAATCAGTGTTCAGCACACTGCCTCTCATAGAATAAGTGCTAATGTCACTTTCTTCCTTTCTCCATTGCTATTTTCCTTCCCTCTAATTTCTGGTTTTTCTGTTTCTATTTTTACATAATATCCAGGAACTTTTCACGCCCTCCTCTTCTTTCTTCAAATCTAAATATCTGACCTATTAGAAAGCAGGGCACAAAGTCCTGTCTAGACTGGTAACATGAGGGAAATTGTCATGTAGGAAAGTCTTGAGTCATCTTGTCATAACCAGGGGAAGATGATGCAAAATTATACCATCTCATTAGTATCATAAATGATATTTGTAGCACCTCCATACTAAGAACCTTTTTATAGCGACCACACAAGTTTATTCCAGAGGGCTTCCCCTCTGTGCTCCACTACAGAGACACCCTCTCTGCCTTTTCATTATCAAATTGCACCTTTGCACTCAAAATCTATTTGGGGAACCTGAACTGTAACCTCTACTTGTGTATCCATTATTTAGAATTCAGAAAGGGGATGGCATTTGCCTGACCTTTCCCTGCTGGATACATTAAACGCTGCCTCTAATAACTGACCTTATTATTCACCTTATTATTTCTGATATGTCTCATGCCTGCCTTTTCCCATGTTTACTTAAGTAACTGGTCTATTGGCCTAAGTAAACAATCTGAGAGCTTTTATTTCTTTCTTTAGCCAAAATAATCTTACTGGACAGTGACTCAATTGCCAATGGTCAATTTGACTTTCAAGATTCACTTTCAGAGACAAAAGAACTTGACTATCTAAAGTGTCATCAAATACTTGGTAATCTATTTTTATGCAAGTATGGCATATTCTATTTTGTGTAAGATTCTCTTTCATTCATTTATATTTTTATAGTCTGGGTCTTGCTCACTTGCCCAGGCTACAGTGTAGTAGCACAATCATAGCTTACTGTAACCTTGAACTCCTGGACTCAAGTTACCTTCCTGCCCCAGCCTCCTCAGTAGCTGGGACTGCAAGCGTGTGCCATCATTCCTGGCTAATTTTTTAAAGATATTTTTTGTAGAGAAGGGGTCTTGGAATGTTGCCCAGGTTGGCCTCAAACTCCTGGCTTCAAGCAATCCTCCCACTTCAGCCTCCCAAAGTGCTGGAATCATAGGTGTAAGCCACTATGCCCAGCCTATTTTGTGTAAGATCCTTTTATACAATTATGGAAGACAGATTTATGTTTACCACTATTCTTTCAAATTTAGGTAGCTTGAATTTGAGAAAGCTGCCTATATAATAGGCATCTTCAATCCAATGATGATTTAATAGAGTCTATGAGAGCCTATGAGAAAAGTCTATATTTTGTGAGTACGACAAAGCCAAAAGCAACAACTTAATGGAAATAAGCAGAAGATGAATTTTTAAGGAAATAATACTTTTTGGGGGGGGGGTGTTACTTTTCTTTTTTGAGACAGAATCTCACTCTGTTGCCCTGGGTAGAGTGCTGTGGCATCATCAAAGCTCACTGCAACCTTAGTCTCTTGGGTTCAAGTCACACTCTTGCCTCAGCCTCCCAAGGCACCTGCCAAGATATTTGGCTAGTTTTTTCTATTTTTAGTAGAGACAGGGTCTCACTCTTGCCTAAGCTAGTCTTGAACTCCTGAGCTCTGCTGATCCTCCTGCTTCTGGCCTCCAGAGTGCTAGGATTACAGGTGTGAGGCACTGCGCCAGCCTTGGCTTATTTTGTTTTTCAGTAAGAGACGGCACAGTGTAGTACTTTGCTGGGACAGGAGCCCGGTCCTGCTCTCACCATCGCTTATTCATCATTGATCCTCACTCAAGCCAGTTCTTCTTTCTGGGCATTGATTGTTTCATCTACAAAATGGGAATACTGATACCTTATCTACTAGAAGGTAAAAAACTGAACTAAGTGGATTCTTGAAGTCTCTTCCACACCTAGGAAGATTTTTATGTTTATGCTTCTATATATACAGGCCACTTGTACACAGCAGTCTGAAGTGACAGTAGATTAGGCTGCCTCATTTGGAAGGCAAATATCAATGAATTTGAATCTGAGATATCTCTAAAGATGTTTATAGAGTTCCACTTTGAAGAACGTTAATGTACGGACCCTATTCAAGTGGCCAAGGACAGTTAGTCAGCTAATTCTGTATTCAGTGCTGACCTGATATTATAAGAAGGATATTAAAAACAAAAATAGAAGTATGTTGTGGAAGATAATTGGGGTTCTATTTTCCTTCCAATATACACAAATTGTGTAAGTACGGAAAGTCACAACTGTTTTCTTCCCATTTTCTTCCAGCTCTAAAATTCTATGGCTCTATATATCTGAGCATTTTTGAAATTCCTTAGTACTGGGACACACCAGTTAAACGAACACTTTATACAATACTCAGAATTGGTTTATTAGCTTTCAGGAACTACACCCCAGTAAATATTCTTCAGTAATAGTTTCAGTTGACAGCAAAATAAGAGAATGTTTGAAGCTATAGCATTACATCATCCAAAAGAATATTAACAGTTGTTTATACCTTCACACTGTTTCCACCAGCTTCTGAAGCCCTGTCTACATCAAACTCTTTCCGAGTGTGACATATACATTTTATATTTTGAGCCAGTTAATCACCATCTTCCACTACAGCTTTCTGGCAAAGGACTGTAAGGATTTTTTGTCTCTTCTACATGGCTTTAAAGTGTTTTATAGCCCCTACTTGAATATTTAAAGGGTAGTACACATCCTTGGGATTTCATTACACAGTATATTATCTATTTCAAATCAAATAAATTGAATTCCCAGTCTTTTCTTTTCTGGTCTAGAGTATTCTTTTGTTCCACAGCCAGACAACAAAACTTTTCCATTAAGAACATGGTACTTCCTCCCCTTTATGCTTAATGTATCCATGTAATTATAAAACACATAATTAGAATCAATTATATGCTAATACTACCTTATATTTTGCCTCCACAGACTTTTAATTGCCACATCAACTTCTGGGGCTTTGCGTATATAGATTTGCTCTTTTCTTAACTTCAGCTTTGTCAGCGCCTCTATCCACCCCCCACACCCCCCACCACAATCTTCCCAGGAGAAAAATACAAATCCGAGGTTTGGATGTTTTACTTAGCTTTCTTTATGTTGTCCATAGCTGAGTTGTAGAACCACACTTATACTCCATCACTCTCTGTTTCTTTTCTCTGTTCTCAGCCTTCAATTCCATTTTTGTAAACATTCTAATGTGCGACGGTAATGAGAAACCAGAACGTGCTTATCTGGGTGTTTTCTTGCATCTGGTTTTGTCGTACAAAGGGAAATCACGTGGACCATAAAATTTTGAAGTATCTTGGCGAACTGAAGGCCTTCGGAATGCAGGAGTAGGTAGTTATTTGCTATCTCAAAAACATAAGGTGTGGAGAAACTTTAACTTCTAAATAGAGGCTACCAAAATTTCATACTGGTCAATAAGGAGCAGATTCTCTCAGGCTGCAGAGAGAACAACAGCGACACAACCAGCTCCTGGAGCTGGGAGGAACAAATCCATAAATGCAACCCCTGAATAGTAGAGCAATGAACTGTATTTCCAGAGAGGCAAGCTGCATTATTCCTGATCTGAATTGTCTTTTTGTAGTAACCACCAAGTAGGATTAATTTCTCTGATCTCAGTATACTGAACTTCCGGAAAAGAACGACTTTCAAGTATGGTTTCTTCTGCTGCCACCCAGTGGTCGCAATAGGTATCTGCACCTCTCTGTAGCGCGATGGTAAGCAGTACACACGTCACAGTCGTAAATATGTGGCGTCCTCACTACATGCCAGCTACTTTAAATTAACCTATTTACCCCTTAAAGAGACAAATGGAATCACACCTTAGAAAATAACTTGCTGAAATGACAATGAAGAACCTTAATTCTTTTTTGTTAATAACATTATTTTACATTAAATGTGAATGAATTTTGTAAAGTCCTATACAAATGAGACATATTCCTATTTATATAATTATTTTGTTAGATAACCGGTGAATCATGGGTCATAACTGGAATCTAGGCCTACTTGACCTCAGTAAAGTAAATCCCTCCATTTTATTAATGAGGTAACTGAGATAGAGAGAAATCAAGCAATGTGACAAAGGTCACATACCTATAAGTGTTGAAGTCAGAATATAGTCCTGGCAAACTAACAAACTAACTTCTGAATCTGTGCTCCACAGAACGGAACTAACACTGCTGTGTTAGTAACACAGTAATGAGGCAGCTTATCAACTCTCCACATATTACATGACTTCTTCTCTTTCTACCAGAACTGGACCAACATACATCAGGGCGCACTTTCAAGGCACTGTGCATCTTAGCAGTGTCTGGTTTACCCTCACTGGGGTACAACTTTGGACCTGATCACCCCAACAGCCAGTGACACTGATTTTATTAGCCATAGACTAAGTGTGAGCCTGCTCTAGAGTCTCAAGTGTTATCTTTCTTATGCTGGGCATGGGCAGGACACCACTATAATTGGTCAATTTATTTTCAGTAGGCCATAGTTATGAAAGGTCAAAACAGGGGTTAGGAAAACACCATCTCCCATAATTAATGTGGTCTTGCACAAGTTAGTCTCTCAACGGACTTTAATTTTCCCTTACACAAGATATGGGAGGGTAATTAAAC